CAGGGCCCCCCAGGACCCCCCCCGGCCCCACCCTCATCCTCTGCCTGCCGCAGCCGCTTCTTGGCCCGGATCTCGTTCATGGCCTCTTCGATGGAGCGCGTGTCCCGCTTGTTGGCGACTGGCACTGGGGGAAACAGGAGAGAGCCAGCTGGCTTTGACCCCCCAGCCCCCACAGAGAGAGCCCAGGTATTTGGGTGCCCAAAACCTCCCTGTGAGGGGACCCATTTGTACAGGACACCCCCAAGCCTCCTGGACCCCCAAGACCTTAAAGACCCCCACAGGACCCTCTGCTCACCGCAGCCGTATGCCTTGTTGGCCTCCATGGTGCGGGCAGCAGCTTTGGCAGCATCAGAGCCGATCAGATGCCGATATTTGTCCTTGTAGTCATTGGGGGGACCCGGAGGGGTGGAGCTGCACTCAAGCTCTGCCTCCTCCTGCTGCGCTGCCAGCTCCTGCAGGTGAGGAGTCAGCAACGAGCCTCGCCCACGCTACCCACTCAGGCCACACCCAGCAAGCACATGCCACACCTATACAAGACCTGTCCCCACCACGCATGCCACACCCATCTGGCCATGCCCTGTTGAGCCCCACCCATACCTATTGTGGGCTCATGCCCACTAAGCCCTGCCTACCCGGAGGCGACGCCGCTCTTCAGCTCGGGCCGGATCCCACTCTTCCCCACGCCGATATGCCTCCAGCTCCTCGTCCGACGGTGCAAACTCCTGGGGACAGTGGTGTCACCCTGTGCTCCCTCATCTCCCCCAGTCACCCCTCCAGTGTCTCCTGCCATCCCCCACCTTTTTGAACACCATTACATAGCGACTATCCTCATCATCTCCAAACGAGAAAGATGTCAGGCCGGCCACCTCTGCCACGTCGTGCCTGGGGGGAACATGGAACTCCTGGCACTGGGGCTCCCCAGTGGGGTCCCTCCCCATGAGGGTCCCCAGCTGCCCCAGGGGTGCTGCCATCCTGGGGTGTTCCTGTCCTACTCCAGTGTCCAACCCCAGCATACGCAATATTGCCCCACAGTGCTGCCATCGACCCCCAGTATCCTCCTAAGTGCTTTCCCATTCCCAGTTCCTCAGTGTCCCCAGTGTTCTCCCAAGCGCTCTCAGTACCACCGGCGTCCCCACTGTCTCACCATTGGCCCCCAGTGCCACACAGAGCACCCAGTACTCCCCCAGTGCCCTCCCAGTGTGCCCAGGGCTCCACTCACAGGATGCTCCTCTCAATCTTGTTCATGGGCTGGAACCGGCGCCGGGGCTCCCCAGTGGCCTGGATGAACTGCGATACCTCTTGCTCCATCTGAGGACACACGGGCAGTCCATGGGAGCCCAGGGATTTGTGGGGACTCGTGCAGAGAGTGCCAAAATGCCCAGTGATGCCTGACCCCCCGCCACTCACCCTCTTTCTGAACTCAACCTTCTGGCGCTTCTCTTGCTCCTGCAGCTTCTTCATGCGAGCAGCTTGTTCTGGAGAGGAGAGGGAGTGTCAGGTCGGTGGTGACCCCCCAAAACCACCCAAGAGGGGGCGGAAGGGGGCGGGGCCAGCACCATCCAGGGGCGTCTCTCAATTGAGGCAGGGGCCTGGGCTGGGCCGGGCCGGGCCGGGCTGGGCTGGGCTAGCTGCGGCGCGTGACCAGAAGCGCGACACGGGGCAAAAGGGC